AGACTCTCTTGTCGGAGTGATCTCTTGGTAATCACAGGGAGAGGAGTCTATTGGTCACTTTCAGCTTTAATGAAAATCATTTTAAAAAAAGACCAAAAAAGAATTTTAAAAATTTTTTTTAAAAAGATATAAATAAAGTTGAAATTAACGAATTAGGAAAAAAAAAAGTATGTTGTTGATTCATAACATTTTATGAGTTGATGTTTTATTTTACTTTACAGTTTTAGAATAAACATTAATTGCTTTAAACCAACTTCGTCTTTAGTTTTATTTTCCGCTTCATGTTTTATATCTAAATTTGTATCAATCGAAAAGATTTATTAGTTATATGTTAAAGATGTAAATAATTCTTAATTATGTTTTTGTTTTTTTTAAAGTTTTAGCAGGTTCGTAATGGTTTTGGAAAGTAGCAATGTTTTAGCATACGTTTTCAACCTGAAGTGGCATTGAATTTCTATTGTTACAGCATTACAGACTCAAATCAGGTTGTCCACTTTTTTAGGCTAAAAACGGAAATCTAATGACTTTTTCGATCACCCTGCCGGATGAGTAATAACAGAGACGTACGGAATTGACCAACCATCAATTGGCAGTTTGGGGTGGAGATAAGATGGGGGTGGCCAGCTGTTCAGATGTCAAGAACGATCAATGACAGAGGACTGGGAGGTTTAAAAAAACAACAACAAAAATTTCTATATTAACAAAGAACCATAGGGAGTGGTGCAGTATTTCTTTGGTAAGATCGGTGACAGATAAAACGATTATGTTGCATATCCCAGGCAAATCACTCACTGATCCAATATAAACATGGTCGTCGAAGATCTTAAACATTTAGGCCTGCTTGGTATTAACCGAAATAGTCGCTCTAAAATCTTAAACATTTAAGACTGCTTTATATTAACTAAAATAGTCGCTCTAACATCTTAAACATTTAAGACTGCTTTATATTAACTAAAATAGTCGCTCTAACATCTTAAACATTTAAGACTGCTTTATATTAACTAAAATAGTCGCTCTTACATCTTAAACATTTAAGACTGCTTTATATTAACTAAAATAGTCGCTCTTACATCTTAAACATTTAAGACTGCTTTATATTAACTAAAATAGTCGCTCTTACATCTTAAACATTTAAGACTGCTTTATATTAACTAAAATAGTCGCTCTTACATCTTAAACATTTAAGACTGCTTTATATTAACTAAAATAGTCGCTCTTACATCTTAAACATTTAAGACTGCTTTATATTAACTAAAATAGTCGCTCTTACATCTTAAACATTTAAGACTGCTTTATATTAACTAAAATAGTCGCTCTTACATCTTAAACATTTAAGACTGCTTTATATTAACTAAAATAGTCGCTCTTACATCTTAAACATTTAAGACTGCTTTATATTAACTAAAATAGTCGCTCTTACATCTTAAACATTTAAGACTGCTTTATATTAACTAAAATAGTCGCTCTTACATCTTAAACATTTAAGACTGCTTTATATTAACTAAAATAGTCGCTCTTACATCTTAAACATTTAAGACTGCTTTATATTAACTAAAATAGTCGCTCTTACATCTTAAACATTTAAGACTGCTTTATATTAACTAAAATAGTCGCTCTAACATCTTAAACATTTAAGACTGCTTTATATTAACTAAAATAGTCGCTCTAACATCTTAAACATTTAAGACTGCTTTATATTAACTGAAATAGTCGCTCTTACATCTTAAACATTTAAGACTGCTTTATATTAACTAAAATAGTCGCTCTTACATCTTAAACATTTAAGACTGCTTTATATTAGCTGAAATAGTCGCTCAAATTCAACTGAAGTAGTCGGTAAAATCTATTTGCAATCCTATTATTACTATTATTATTATTATTATTTATTCCCAACCAGCTGGTGTCGGGGACCACATGCATGTATAAGACTCAGCGAGGGTAATACACATTTATAAATGTTAAGTTTTATTACTAGTTTATTATTTGCTTGTGAGGGGGGAAAGGTATTAATTAATACACGTTATACAAAACGAGGTATTCAACTCCCATTATTGTCATTATCAAAACGTCATCCATAACTCAACATGTCCGTAAACATTTTTTGTCCGAATGTTTGACATCAGAACGTAACTTAATGTGTGTGCCGAATGCTCTGTTGGATGACAGACATTGAATGACTAATGCTGATGAGGGCGTGGCTAGAGTACCGCAATTAAAGTACTTCGGTTGTTTTGTTGTTTTTTTTTTGCATATGTATTGTGTGTATGGCCGAAAACGTATTACATCCTTGTGAGTGACATATCATTAATTAATATTACAAAAATTTAGTCTACTTAACAATTTAAAAAAAAACTTGTTACATTGATGTACACCAATAGCTTGAAGCGTTGCTCTAGATCAGGGCGCCAGGCTCACTTAGGACACGAGGACCACTTGAGACGCTCGCTGGATTGGGAACATGCCCAATAATGCGTCTGAAGCGAAGCTTCAACATAATTCCCTCAGCCGTGTCATTTTGGTTTCAGAGTTATGCCGCTTTGCAATTGAAAGCCTTGTCATTTTGTATAAGAGCCATGACCTTTTGATGTTGGTATAAGAGCTATGTATGATTGGTTTCAAAGCAATGTCATTTTGGTTTAAGAGCGATACGATTTTGTGTAGAGCCATAAATTTTTGTTGGGAAACTTGCCATTTTTATTTTTAATATCTTTGACATTTTGAGGTAAGAGCCATGACACTTTGGTTTAAGAGCAATGCCATTTTGGTTTAAGAATCATGTCATTTTGGTTTAAGAGCCATGTCATTTTGGAAAAAGAGCCATGTCAATTTGGTTTAAGAGCCATGACATTTTGGTTTAAGAATCACGTAATTTTAGTTTCAGAGCCATGTCATTTTGGTTTAAGAGCCATGTCAATTTGGTTTAAGAGCCATGAGATTTTGGTTTAGGTACTCGCAGCTTAGGTCAATGTCATCGCCAATGGGTTTGCAGAGTTCAAATAATATATTGTAATATATCAACTAATTTCAAACCCTTACCTATGGTAAAATTAATACTTGAAGTGCATTATAAAACATTTTGATCTTATAATATATATATATATATATATATATATATATATATATATATATATAAAATATATTAAATAAATATTTGATTAAATTGTTTATATGTGAGACACAATTTCAAACAGACATAAAGTGATCACTTGTTTGAACCACTTATATATATAAAAGATATCCAATAAACATTTGATTAAATTGTTTAAATGTGAGACCCAATTTGCAACAGGCATAAAGTGATCACTCGTTTGAACCACGCAATAGTCTATACATGGGCTTCTGAAAGTGGGCGGTGGGATTCCCAGGGGGGGGGGGTAAGCTGCTTAGTAGATCTAAGGGGGAGGGGGGCTTGGGACCACCTTAGGGACCGTGATGGATGAGATCGGAATTTTTTTTTTTTATGAAAAATATTAAATTACCTAAAACCAGAAGTGGAAGAAATGTCACCACTGTGTTAAGCCAATTGAAATCATGCAGTCGGCATAATTGAGCGATGTAGCTGATGCAAGTTACTATTACTATTACTTTCATAATCCTACTTTAAGGCAGCGGTGATATTAATAAATAATGATTTTAATTAAATGTTCACTGACATATTATACTATTATATTTTATTGTGTTTTTAAATCTCACTTACACAATTGTGCTACGGTCCTGAATTTTTTTTTTCTCTATTTTTTTTTTTTTTTTTTTTTTATTTTTTTTTTTTTTTTTTTTGTGGGGAGGAGGGCATAACACATGAATGCACTTCACATTACTGATTGTTCCAAAGGGGTGCATCCAAAAAAAATATTTTTTGAATATCACTAGTCTAGACATTAATATTTTAGATGAGTCTTACATTTTGTATTGTTATTCTGTCACTGTTAAAGATATTGTATTGACCTTCTTTAGAACAAAAATGCCTGGAACATTAAATAGTAGAATAAATATTTGAAACAGAAACCTCTGCCACCACCACCTTACACAGATGAACTATTTGGAGTTAGATGACTCTTTAGAATATGACAGTGGAGCCTTGTGGTGCACACGCCCGTTCTCGACTTTATGAACTAAATCCTGTTATCGTTACAGCTATCCCCAAGTGGATGAAGAGGAGTGAAGCATCCACCACTTTGAGAGGTGTGCAATGGTTTGTGGACAACACGACTATGGTGCAATGTGGTGCACTTGATGTTCACTTCAAATGTTTATTTTGTACTCCAGATAACAAAGGAGGATGATATTCACCATCGCAGTTTCCATGATCACGTTTAACATGTGTTAAAAATAACGTAAAACTAACGAATGAAAGGGACCAAACTGAATCAAAGACCTTTTAATGACAAAATAAATTAGAATGAAAACAATTGTCTTCATTGCTAATATCCTTAATATACATTATATTCTATCTCTCTTTTTTAACGTAAATCTAAAATAATAACAAACAAGTGCTATCTAGCAACGGATCTGTGAAGTACAATACATGAAGTAAGACATACATATAATTGTTTTTAATGATTCGATTCTTCATGCGGCATACATGTTATTAAATCGATTGGTTTTAAATGTTACAGTTTCAAAAATAATGAATTAAAAATTCCATTGAAGAATGCACAGATCATTACCTAGAGCTATAGGAGTTAAAGCGTGACTATCTAAACACAATGATTATGAGTAGAATATTAATGGGAATCTGCATTATTAGACATTTGAAGAACATTTTTTATCTGCAGACAAAAGCATCAGATTAAATTGGAGTGTAGCGAAAGCCAAAAGCAAAGATAAGTATATCGAATGCAAAATCAATAGGTAAGAATAGAAAATTTAAACTTCATAATATGGCATTCGTGTTCCTAAAAGTCTCAAGCATTTTAGAGAAATATCAAAATGTTTTAAAGCTTATAACATAGCATTCACATTTTTATCATGCACTTTTAAATATAGCTTTCTATACAAATCACGTGATTTTAAAAGGAAGTACTGACCAATAGTGACACAATAAGAAAAAAACAACAAATACATGATGCACAATTTTTCTAAATAAATTTTTTAATAGTAAAACCTGAATATTTATAAAAACACATTTTTTTTTTAAAATTTAAATCAATTATTTGGGATAAATTCAAAAAATATCAGGAAGAATAGATCTTAGCTGTATATCATAAACAAATGCAAAATCTCGCAGGCACGATACTATCTTGCAAATCACCGACGGCTCTTATTTGGATACTTTATCGAACACTGGCTCAATAGTTGTGTTCCAAAGTCTGTTCTATTTTCGCAATAACCATAGGTAATTCCATATTCGCTTTTTGGACATGGTTCTCGGTGTCAATTGTCTCGATATACCAGCTAATGACCAGTATATTTATGAAGATGAAGCGTTGTTTATTCCATTTCAAGAAACTGACACATTTTCTCACTAGTATTTACGAACTAATAATTCAGCAAAAACTATTTCTTGCTAGGAGAATTATATAATTCAATTAGATGAAATTAAAAATAGTAAAACTTGCGAAAAAACAATCGTATTTCTTCTTCAATAATAAATACATTTCCTTCAAAATAATTTTAAAATCGTCAAACATTGACAATTACTTACAAACATTGTTCAACTTTTAGATTTTAACCATAAAATGTTTTGAGTTAAAAAAAAGCAAACCAACTTGAAACGTATTTTCATAGAGATTTTTGCGTAATGTGGTTACAGTGTTCATGATAAAAAAAAAATTATCAACTAAAAAAAATTAAGGTTGCTTTCGCTGCAGCAATACTTTAACAAATTACCATCATGATGAAATGCAAGCTCTCAGTTGAGATTTACCTACAGGTTTGCGCAGTTATCCGATACGTCTCTATATGACTGCTCCCTGGTCAGCAGTCAATTTAGAGAGTTCGTCGCTCTTGGCATTTAATTCAGCTAACTTTCCTTCGTCGTTGTCGCTATCTTTAGTTACATTATTCTTAAGTTCTTTATCAATATTATATTTTTCCTCTTGTTTCACTGAATCGGTCGGCTCGAGCGATGTTTCACACGTCTCTTTCTCAGTCTCATTCTCCTCTTTACCAGGTTTGATTCGATGTTCGTCTGACAAGTTTTCTGACTCTGTCGAAATTTTCTCCGACACCTTATGCTCTGTCTTTTCCTCAGTTACCTCCTCAGTCTTGGCCTCTGCCATCGTCTCGATCACTCCTGTCTCTGTCAATTCAGTCCCTGTCACTCCTGTCTCTTTCAGTTCAGTCCCTGTCACTCCTGTCTCTCTCAATTCAGTCCCTGTCACTCCTGTCCCTGTCATTACAGTCTCTGTAATTCCAGTCTCTGTTGTTTCCTGTTTAACTTCGACAATATCTTTATAACACTCTGCCTTAACTGTATCATCGTTTGACGAACCCTTCTCTCCTAAGCATGTTTCTGCATCAGTGTCACATGATTGAACTTCCTCGACCTTGTGTCCGTCATATTCCCTCCCCAGTTTGGCTCTCTGGTTCCGCTTAGCCCACCTCCAAGTTAAAACTGAGACCAGTATCATAGTTATAGAAACGAGTAAAACTAGAACTATAAAAAACCAAATTAAAGACACTTTTTGCTTCGACTTACCGGACTCAGTATTAGCTGGTGTCTTTTTAACAGTGTTAATATTCCCAGGTACGTGATTGGTCTTGGATAGTAATGGTTTTTTGGTTCGTTTTGTTACTAAAGCACCGTTGTCATCTGGAAACTCTAAGTTTTGATTTTTTTTATTTAACTTATCGAATTCAAAATTTTTTGATGAATCGGGGTAAGTTTCGCCGTATTCACCAATGACGTCCCCACTCAGATGTTTATCTTCTGTGTCCTTAATATCAGGTGTGCTTTCTTCACGTGAGCTGTCGCTTATGTCAGTATTAAAGTCATATGTAACATCAACATCTGCTTCACTCTTATCCGTAGTTGATGAGCTGTAAATTGATGCTGTAAAACTACTGAGATTTGGGTCTTTTGATTGAGTTTCCGCACCTTCTGATGAAACTCTTGATCTGTATGTTGATACATCTATTGATACGTATGTTGAAGGAAATCTTTCAGTTCTTGATACAAATGTTGATTCAACTCTTGATCTATCTATTGATGCAGCTCTTGGTACCACTGTTGATGGAGCTGTTGTATCAGCTATTAATGCATCTTTTGGTGTAACACTTGATCGCTTTGTTAACTGAGGCGCAAAGGCTCCAAACCCTTTTGACGTAGACTTTGCGCCTCTTGTTGACGTAGACTTTGCGCCTCTTGTTGACGTAGACTTTGCGCCTCTTGTTGACGTAGACTTTGCGCCTCTTGTTGACGTAGTTATCGATCTCGTTGTGGCTTTTGTTACTTTAGACTTGGGCGATACTGTACTTTCACTGACTGCTTTAGTTTCCGATGTTGCTTTCAACCCAGGATGTCCTAATATTTCCGTTGTGGATGTCGTATTTAGTGACATAAGTGGCGATGTAGGTTTCGATGTTGCTTTCAACCCTGAGTGTGTAAATATTTTAATTCAATAAGTTATACATTTAGGAAAGATTGATCGTGTTTTGTTTTTTCAACTCTGAATAATGTTTGCAGACAAATTATTCTATTGTTTTAAAAAATATCCTCACTCATTATAATATAAAGATTCCAGTTAATTTATTCACGATTGAACAACAACTTTCCTAGCTGTGAGATCAAATAAATGTAGTAAATAAAATTAATGCACGGAATGTAAAGTAACTAAAGCTATAGGAATTTAAGACAAGTCCTTGGTTTGACAATCTTACTTGTTATTTGCCTATGAGAGCATTTTTTTTTAAATAATAAAAGTTACAAGACTGAAAGAACAAAATTAACACTCAGATTTGTAAGGAGATTTAATTAACTGAGTAGATTTAGTTAAACTAAAATATTTTAAAAGCCATTATATCTCAACAACTTCATCAAGCTTTTCCTCCAGGCTCAGAACGTAATATTGATAAATATGCTGGACGATATTTGAGGTCGGCTGCTTAGAATCTACGAGAGCCAAGTGAACAGGTCGAGGAAGATCGCGTCCGAACAACAGGTGATTGGGACTGAGACCAGTGTCCGGCATCGGATGGCTGTTGAAGGAACTGATTAGCAGGAAGAGAAGCTCGTCCCAGTTACTGTCGTGGTCAAGTATCAACTCAGAGATAGTTTGTATTAAAATATATATGTATTTTTCTGTAATAGCATGTCTTTGTGGATCACATGCGCATTTGTCCACTTGTTTAAGTTCCAGAAGAAGTGAAAGGTTGCTGAATAACGCCCGCTGAGGTGGTGAGCTCTGGTCATAGTGGATATATAACGGAGTTCCAAAAATTAAAAAATAGTTTTCCATTAAACTTCTGACGATAGTTTCAAGTGAATCGTTAGATAATATATAAATTTGGGTCATTAGAGAAAAGGCGTCTGTTATGAGGAAAATAAAGCGACCTCCGCTTCCTCTCAATGAAAATGGTCCCAAAAAACGAAAACAAATTCTCTGCATAGGGGATCCATACATAAAATCTGTACTATTTCTGGGGTAATTATTAAAAGTATATTTTATAGTTTGACATTTCGTACAATTTAATTGAACAATTCTGATATCATCCTGTATCCTGTACCAGCTGTAAGATGCTGTAATTCTTTCGAAAACTTTGTTTACATCAACAACACTCGATCCAGTCTTCCACATGTTTACCAACACAGTTTTAACAAGAGAGCGAGGCAGTAAAATCTTAACGGTCTCGTTTCTGGGACCAAATTGAAATCTCTTTTTACACAGAACACCGTCTACGATCTTAATGAGGTCAAAATTGAGCCATAAATTTCTGAGACCAGGGTTTTCTCCACGAATTGTTTCAAAGGGAGGTTTCTGACGTTGGGAAATCCAGCGAAAAACTCTCGACAAATCGCTGTCGTGATGCTGCATATTCATAAGCTCTGTTGTTGAAATATTAAGAATGTCGTTGTTATATGTTTCCTTTTTGTTACCGTTCTCGTTGAAAGAATTATAAATTTCTCCAGTGGTTACATTTACAAAGCTAAAATTGTTCTCCAAAGTTACACGTGGCATCTCATGGTTAGGCTCACTACTTAGAACATCTTTGCTGAGATTGAAATCACCATACTGCTCTTCTTTTAACTTGACTGAAGTACTATTCTCGTTATTTTCAGAATGAATCAAAGTTTCATCATTTTCAGAGTTGATATTATTCAGTTTGTAAGCTAACAATGCACTCTTGTTTAGATTAAGATTCAAGCTATTGTCATCGATGCGGCTTTCAGATTCATGAATATTATTTTCTATTATTGTTCCAACTGGAACTTGTGGTATCCCTATTGGGATGTCATGTGTGATACTCTTATTAATACTATCTTCCCTTATAGGGATACATTTATCCGTCTCTCTGTAGGACTGTATTTGGAAGGTATCGTTAATTTCCCCATTTTTAACTTGATTTGCGTACTTGAAGTCTGGTGAATCTCTGCTAAAGTCGACAGATTTATTAGGAAATTCTAACTTTGTTTCATTTGTATTTATCATGATATCTATATCATTATCTCCAACGAAGTTAGGACTAAAGGTGGGATTTTCAAAGTTTTCATTCCCTGAAATAGCTAACTCTTTGATGGTTTCATTTTCAGATGTTTCATTCATTAAAATATTATCTTTTATATCATTATAATTGTGTACAGATTGAAATGTCATTGACCTTTTATCTCCGTTTATTTTATTCATAAGACTGTAAGTGCCATTGCCGTGTTCAGTAAGATTTTCAGTGTAGACCATGTCTAACTTATTGATCTCTTGATTTTTGCTATCTAAATGAGAATTTTCTAACATCTCGTCCCAGGAAGAGTTATTGGTTAGTGTTGCTGAAGAGTTGTCGCTCATTTTATTTGCCTGTTTTTTTGAGTTGTCACTCATTTTAAAGGCCCGGCTACTGAAGTTCTCACTGGTGTTCAAGGTCTGACTACTGAAGTTCTCACTGGTGTTCAAGGTCTGACTACTGAAGTTCTCACTGGTGTTCAAGGTCTGACTACTGAAGTTCTCACTGGTGTTCAAGGTCTGAGTACTGAAGTTCTCACTGGTGTTCAAGGTCTGACTACTGAAGTTCTCACTGGTGTTCATGGTCTGACTACTGAAGTTCTCACTGGTGTTCATGGTCTGACTACTGAAGTTCTCACTGGTGTTCATGGTCTGACTACTGAAGTTCTCACTGGTGTTCATGGTCTGACTACTGAAGTTTTCTCTCATGTTCAAGGTCTGGCTACTGAAGTTCTCACTGGTGTTCATGGTCTGACTACTGAAGTTCTCACTGGTGTTCATGGTCTGACTACTGATGTTTTCTCTCATGTTCAAGGTCTGGCTACTCTCACTCTTTTCTGTCATCAGAATCTCGCCTGAATGATGTAATTCTTGTTTTAATATTCAATAGCAGACAATCTCGAAAGCTTAGGTCTTGTCAGAGTTTAAATACGTATAAAATACATTGTCCTGTATCTCATCCAATACATGATATTTAAATATCGTGTGTGTATGGCTAACATCGATCTTCTGATCAGATGTAAACATTGAATTGAATAGCAGAAAAATAATGAGAAAGGATTAAAAATGTGTTGGCTATTTAGCTGTATTTAAAATATTTAATAAACTAGTCTATTATAGAACTTGGTAGGTCAACCCTATCTTATTTTGACAATATACATTTTCCCCCATGAAGAGATTGGATCAATTTTTCCATTTCTACAATTATGGAAATTGTATTACATATTTCTTGTAGCAACAGAAACACTTACATTTTACGTAAAATTTAAAAAAAATGCATGCAATTCATATTTATAAATCAACTTTTAATACTTTGAATACTTTACTTTATGAAATATTTTAGATGAAACCAAGACAAAATGATTTTTAATGGGACTGAGAATGTGATTCTAGAATGTGTTGTTATTTTAAAAGTATAAACTACATTTAGTGCCTTAGACTTCTCCAGACATCTTTGAATTTTTGTGTGTGTGTGTGAAATGTATAAGTCAATGTCTAACAAGAAAACTGTCAATTTTTAACAATAAACTAATTGGCTTTTTTTTTTGTGTGTTACTATATACCAAGTTTATTATCAATTGTCAAAAGATTTTCTCATTATTTTAGGAAGCAGTCACGTTTATTGAATCATCAGAGAAACTGTCTATATAAAAGTCAAACTATGGCAAACAACCAAGCTTTCATTGTGTAAATATTGCATTAAATAATTCAATTCATAGCAGATTAAATCTACCTTCTGAGCATTTAGAAATCTTCACGTCATCCAATGCAATGTCCCCATAGAAGCCCCCAGAAGTTCCTTGAATTACAATCTATTGAAAAACATTACAACCATTAGTCAATACGCATGATTCATATCTGAAGTTAGTGTAGTGAAACAGAACTGTCCATAAAGAAACAGAAATATAAATATATATTGAATTATAGTTTTAATTAAATCAAGCATACCTTAAATGCAGCTGTTTGCTTCGAAAGACGAACATTGCCTAAATGCCACTCATTACTCCTGTTACCGGTAACGTGAAAGAATCGATGTGAATCCTTCATCTTTTTTGTATCTAAGTTTGCAGGCGTCAAGAACACGGAAAGATTTCCAACATCTTAAAAAAAAGAAAAGGAAACAAATCTATTATTGTTAAAAAAAAAACATGTAAGTTGTAATGAAGTTGGAGTAACATGTAAGTGTATAAACCGGTAGTGTAACCGTGTTAGTGTGCCTGGGTGCGTGAAACCTATTTGGAGTTTCCATTTTAGTGAAACCATGTTTGTGTTTATGACAAGGTAGTGTAACCATGATAGTGTTATCAAGCTAATATAACGCTATTGATGGTATTGTTCCCATAAGTAGAGAACACTGTTGTGTGCACATGATTTCGCTAATGAAAAGAATGTGCATGGAATCATTCTCACTTTAAAGGTACTAATAGATCTAAAAACTCTCCGTTAAACTAAACACTTGGATTTATTTTGAAAACAAGCATGGATTATCTTATTTCAGTTGAGTCCAAGACACAGCTTGCTATCTCCTGTAACAATGGCATTTTAAAAGATTTAAGAAGAAGCTCCCTGAAGCACACTGTTTTTATCAGGTTGATTATATGTTAGAAGATGTGTGAAGACTCACATAAAAAAACTGACAATGATTTTTTCACAATTGCCTGTATATTTTAATTAGTTGACTCTTTGAAATGTGTGTTAGTTCTAAAATATGATGTCATGGAGTCGTGTTTACGTCATCCTTTCTCTTGCATGAACTTTGGCTGACCCCACGTTTGGAAACGCAATGGGCAACACGATGGGCAACACGATGGGAAACACGATGGGCAACACGATGGGAAACACGATGGGCAATACGATGGGAAACACAATGGGCAACACGATAGGCAACACGATAGGCAACACGATGGGCTTGGTTTAATTATAAATAGTCTCCCATGACCTTGACTAGACGTAAACACAGTCTATAGTCTTTAGAATTAGAATTATTTAGAACATACCAGACGGGTTGAGATACAACAAAAAAGCCAAAGCCCTTTCTAGAAAAAGTATCTAATAAATAGTATAAATAAGCCGATCCACATAGAGCTAGACAGAGATTGGTATTACCATACGAAACAATAAGAGAGACAGATTTTGTACTCATCGTATATTTGTATATTAATATTTACTCTGTTTGTGTATGTGTGCACCTTCTTCCACATTGTACCGGTAAAAGTTCATTGCTGTACTTTAAGTGAATAGCCTTAGTTTAATTCTATTCGATTTTTAAAAATTTTAAATCAATTTAATAAATTATTATTTGTAATTAGCCCTAGTTTGGGTATCGCTCTTTAATATTGTATTTAATTAATGGTATCGTTTTTTGTCATGTGCTGTTCCACACGAGTCATAGAGTAAAATAAGAGATCAAATTCTAAACATTATAGCGGTACGTAACACTGAATATAGCTATATTATCCTCAACAGTTAAATATACGTCTTCTCTTCTTTTTTGTTGGTAATTTTCTTTAAAATACCTGGGTTACAATCGAAATGTAACAAACATTGTGATTGTTATGACTTACGTTTACCGTACATGTGGTACCTGAACGTCAGACATTCATTTGTTGCAATTGCCGGTTGGAATATCATGGAGATGAGATTTGCTCTGTCTCCACGTTGCTGTCCGGTGGTCTCTAAAAAAACGTAATGACCTAAAAAAGGACCGGGAATACAAAGTGTGTTTAGATGGAGACGCTTCTGATCAGACTTTTCCTAAATGATTCATTTATTTGTTTATAGTAAGAAGTTATAAATAGCATGATTTGATTTAATAGAGTAAAATACCTTGATCTGACCTCGTTGTATAGTCCGTACTTGGTCCAGTGTCATCGGTGGGGGTTTTACCACTCCATCGCGTCCAATCAAAATCATCGTTGATGTCTTGGCTCCACCCACAAAGATAGACATCCTCAAAGTCACATTCCACTGGATCGTGTTTTGGTTGAACTGAGAAAAATATATTTTTAATATATTTTTATGTCCTTGTACTGCAGCAACCGAACGTAGACGGGATTGTGGAGGTTATAGTGTGACAAAGAACTTCTATGATCGCGTTTTAAGCTATAATTTGACACCTTTCTTCATTGGATCACATTTGTTGCATTCGAGTTGACATATTAGCTGCCTAGAAGCCCCATTAATTGCTGAGATTGTAACCCATTGACGTTTCATATTCCCATAGATGATTATTTACATAGGACTACAGGACCCAAGAATCAAAGTCTGCGTCGCCGTGACAATGAAAAAATGTCAAGGGCAAACTTTTAAGGTGGCCGGATTTGATTGAAATAATACATGTTTTTTTTTATATTGCCAGCTGTCCGTCTCCTGTTCAAATGTAAGTTCTCCCGTTAGCATGGTAAATGCAATAGTAAGAGCGGTTCAAATATATGTGGTTAATAGTTTATTTGTAAAAAAGAAAACTATTCTCAAAAAGTGTTTTGTTCAAAGTGGGACATTGAGCCCCTGACGTCTTTCTTAATGCATCTACTATTTTTTTTTTAAATTTGCGAAAATACCTACTTCAAAATTGTTTATAATTTCTATTCCCAAATTTTAGAATATATCTATCCAGTCACTTTGAATAGATTAGCTCTCAAATTTGTGAAAAAAATTCAACGCCTTACTTTTAGAATTTATCTACTCCCATCTTTTTGAAATATCTACTCCCATCTTTTTGAATTTATCTACTCCCATCTTTTTGAATTTATCTACTCCCATCTTTTTGAAATATCTACTCCCATCTTTTTGAAATATCTACTCCCATCTTTTTGAATTTATCTACTCCCATCTTTTTGAATTGATCTACTCCCATCTTTATGAAATATCTACTCCCATCTTTTTGAATATATCTACTCCCAACTTTTAAAATATACATACTCCCAAATATGTTAATAAACCTGCTCCCAACATTCTAAATATATCACTCCCAACTTTGTGAATATAGCTACTCCTAACTTTGTGAATATAGCTACTCCCAACATTGTGAAGATACGTACACCCAACCTTGTAAATGCAACTACTCCCAACTTTGTGAATACAACTTTTCCCAAATGTGTGAATTCAGCTATTCCCAACTTTGTAAAAATCATTCTCCTAACCTTGTGAGTATAATAATAATAATAATAAGACGTCTTATATAACGCGGTACCCCAGCCTAGGGCAGGGCTCACCGCGCTGCACATAAAAATTTTATCAAAAGAGACATAATCATGACATTAAAATAAAATACATTTATGAAATAAAGAACAGCAATGTATATTCCCCCGACCCACCACATAGCTTTTACCTTCTCTCCAATAAGCAATGATATTAAGTCTTTACGAGGAAAAAAAAAAATAAAAATTCAACAAAGCGGTTCAATTCACTGGTTAACTATTACTAAATGCAAGAGGTGGTTGTCGATGAAAAGGGTGTCGGTCACATATTAATCGTTAGACGGAAATAAGGGAACATGGATTGGGTAGGCTCGAAATGTAATCAAAGGACAATTTAAAGGAAGTTTAGGATGGATGCTTTCTTTCGCAAATAAAAATAAAAAAATAACAAGAAATATAGAATTTGAAATAAAAAAATTAAAGCAACTTATGAGTTACATTAACTGAAACAAAATATTCCAGAGAAGATACCGAACACTAAATATTGGCTAAGCGACAGATTGCATTCCTTAAAAAATAGCTTTAATTGACATTACAAGACCAATTCTTGTATATCCTAAACATAACATACGTACACCTGACGCAAGTAGGAGCCTGGTCGCCCCAGGTTCGTCCGTCACACAACAATTTGTCCGTGCCGTTTCTTCGGAATCCTTCGTTGCACGTGAAGCTGATCAAAGGGCTCTTATTTTTATTAGGTCTACTGAACTGGACTTTTCCATTATCTAGATTAAGCTCTTCACATCCAGATTCTTAAAAAAAAAAATAGAAGAACAGGCAACACACATAAAACAATAATGCTTTTCAGTTAAGTATTTTACAACGAAATCAATTCATTTTAAACGCCGAATCACACAATTAAAATCGTTTATTTAAATATAAATTTAAATGAAAAAGTTTTCCAACGTGACTTAATAATTAACTTTTTGTCCTTAAAAATAAATGTTTAAACCTTAGATGAAAAACAGGGCGACATGGTGTATGGAATTATCACTTTTTATTCCAACTATTTGAAGATTGATATAAAGAAATCTAAACTTTAACTTATTTAAAAGAAAGAAGTAAGATTGCATTTTTTTTTTTTTGCCAAGAAATAATGGAATTTCATAGCAAAAATCAAAATTTCTTGTTAACACAAAGTAACACCATCTTGAATTAAATAATCTCGACTTACTAATACACTTTGGAATGTCCGGATACCAAACGCCGCGCTGAATACACGATGACATCTTAGCACCGTAGAGTGTAAATCCACCGTTACACTTGAAATTGCGCATTGGTGATCTCGGGGTTGGCGGTGATACCTCTCCATTGGGTAAGCTTAACTCTGGGCAGACTGCATAATGATGGAATACAACAATTATTAGAAATAAAATGAACATGTTAAAGCTGATGTTGATTCATTGGTGAAGTCTTGTTACATATTGAACGAACATCCCTCAAGTCATGTGGAATCATTGATTAAATTGTGTAAAATGGAGGTGTTCCAAGCCCACAGAGTCGGTTAAGATGACAAAATGATAATATCTTTAAATTCAGAGAAATAATGGCGAAGCAAGAAAAAAAAAGGATGGAAATTTGTTTAAACAACTGTGTGGATCATGTCATAATTATAATATGGGAAAGCTGTTCGGAAGTATGTTTTCTAAATTAAGCTTACATTTGTCTGGGGATTTCGACGCCAACGGTAGTGCGTTGCAGTGAAACAATCCAATGAGGAAACACATTATTTGTAGAAGAAACATTTCGAATTCCATCTTTCTTGTTGTACACATAGGATTGTTTTAACGATGTATCAATATATATATTTCTTTTAAAAAAAACATTTGCATTAATAATGCATTTATTTTGCTATTAAAATCAATTCGAGTTAGCAATTTAAAATTATAATCAAATTCATATTCTTATTTATTTTAAAGAGTATTTTTTGTATCATTAAAAAAAAACTTCTGAACGTTATCCAAAGTTCACCTATCATATCTTGATTTCTTAAATAATAGGATTACACATTATGTTGTCAACTTTATCAAATAGCAATAACTAACTTCAGCACGTATAATTCGTGAGTATTTAAAATTGAATAGTTGTTACTAAATTTTTGTGTCATACATCAACTTCTATGCGATACCTCAAACAATTGTTCTCACCCAACGGGCTTCCCTTTACTATCTGATTAACCCTCACTTTAATCATTACAATATGGCGTGCAGCCCACTCGATAAATGCGCATTAGCAATGAGCAGCTTTTCATTTGAAGTTTGTGTGAGCGAGTTTGACGCCGTCATAAATTTGCAGCACTTGACTGTAACTCAACAAGCATCAATTGTATAACTTCCTCATACCAGCCCCCAATTGAAATGTCATTTTCAAAATCTACATTTCATAATGCAGACTCAGCGGACACAACAAATAAACTTGAAACTAATTTTGCTATCTACTATAGTTGAGTCCAGTCGTTAAATAAAAGTATTTCTCATTTGATCTGAAACTAAACTCAAGATTTAAAAAAATAACAATTGAAAAATTACATTTATGTTATACGCTATTGAGATAATTAATCCTCTTTTAAAATAAGATTTGCAAAATGTTGATGCGTATTCTTACCAATTGACATACCAAATTAAACCATACGCGCGAAGCTTACAAATGGAAGATCATTGATGAGATTGTTACACCAGCCGGACGTCTAGATCATTCCATGACCAGGTCGAGGTCAGAGCTTCCAATGAAATCGTACTCTGGTCTGAATCGTTGTGTTTTTGGATTTTGGCAGAGAGAAAAGTAGAGAGAGAGAGAGAGAGAGAGAGAGAGAGAGAGAGAATGAGAGAGAGAGAAGGTGGAGGAAATTAGATCGTGTAGTAAGAGAGACAAAGAGATAGAGCGAGGAGTTGAGAGAGTGAGAGAGATAATAAGAGAGCGTTGGGGAGATAGAAAGACAGAGAGATGTGAAAAGGGAAAGAGAGAGATAGAGTGAGAAATAGAGAGAGTTATAACGTTTCGGAGAGGGGGTTGATAGGGAGAGAGAGAGAGAGAGAGATTCCAATAAAAAGGGGATGATATAGAGACAGGAGAGAGAGGGGGGGATTGAAAAAGTGAGAGATAGGGATAGAGAGAGGTAGATGTAGAGAGAGACGGAAGTACAAAGACTGCTAGAGAGAAAGTGAGTAAGGGATGGGTCAGAGTGGTGCAGATGGAGAGAGAAAGGATCAGATTGGAAGAGAGAGAGTGGGGGGGGGATATAGACAGTGAAAATAATTTCACTTAAAGTGAAGAAGTGGCATTTTTAATCCTCGTTTGGGGCGGCATTTGTCGAAAAAGCTCAAAGAAAACACTTTGTGACTCTGCAAAGAGTAAACAAAATTATTGTTATCATTTTGGCTCCCGGTTTGACTTCAGACTTTGCCCTCTCTTAGATGGGTTACCTTCCAAGGTTAGCGAGTCCAATGGTATATTGGCTTTGGTGGGAATTGCACTCCATACCACCAGCTATTTTGGATTGAGTGAGTTTAGACCAATCGGTCACCCAGCAGCCATGTTTATTCATTTAAAATAACAACGTTATCAAAACTTTCTACAGGCCTCATGTACAGAGAAGCGAATAAATTAGCTTGATATAAGCGTTGCAATTTCCTAGCTCAATCGTCTGCCTGAATCAGCCGGCGTTAAATATGACAACTCGGAGTGTATGTGTTTCTGAAATAATTTTTTTTTCAAAATTTTCTAACAAACCCTTACAGCAGACGCCTGATTGAGGTAGACGAAATTACAAATAAAGAGAAAAACGTTGATGTCCTGCTACTCATGACAAGAACTTGATGTCCTTCCACATACGACAAGAAGTTGAAGACCTGCAACATAAGACAAGAAGTTGATGTCATGCCACACAGGACAAGAAGTTGATGTGCTTTCACACAAGACAAGAAGTTGATGTCCTTCCACATATGACAAGAAGTTGATGTCCTGCCACACAAGACAAGAATTTGATGTCCTGCCACACATGACAAGAACTTGATGTCCTGCCACATAAAACAAGAAGTTGATGTCCTGCAACACATGAAAAGAATTTGATGTCCTACCACATCCAACAAGAATTTGATATCCTGCCACACAAGACAAGAAGTTGATTTGCTGCAATACAAGACAAGTAGTTGATGTCCTTCCACATATGACAAGAAGTTGATGTCCTGCCACACAGGACAAGAAGTTGATGTCCTGTCACATAAGACAAGCAGTTGATGTCCTGCCATACAGGACAAGAAGTTAATGTCCTGCCACACAAGACAAGAAGTTGATTTGCTGCAATACAAGACAAGTAGTTGATGTCCTTCCACATATGACAAGAAGTTGATTTCCTGCCACACAGGACAAGAAGTTGATGTCCTGTCACATAAGACAAGAAGTTGATGTCCTGCCACACAGGACAAGAAGTTAATGTCCTGCCACACAGGACAAGAAGTTGATGTGCTGCAATACAAGACAAGAAGTTGATGTCCACCCACACAGGACAAGAATTTAATGTTATGCCCCACATGGCAAGAATTTGATGTCTTGCCACACATAGCAAGAAGCCTATGTGTTGCCTTGAAGTTAATACAACTTTCGAATCATTTCAAAAACATATTACTTTCGAAAATCATTCAAGTAATCTATACTCACACGAGCTTTTTAAGTTCTAATCAAAGTCCACAACACCCAACAGGAAATAACAATTTCTTCTAAACAGTTAGGACGAATTAAATAAGTGCTACCTCATCATGCTATACATTAGACTAGTGTTTCTCCAAAATGTGGTCCGAGATGATCTGTATTTGTGGAAGTTTATATAAAGCCACTTTAAAAAACATGAGAAAGTCTTTGACATACAAAAGACACCCACCCAAACATAGAATAATGTTATTTTCTACAAAAACCAAAAAATTCTTGTTCCGCGCACCCTCCCCCAACCAAAAAAAAAAAAACCAACATTAGTGGTAAAACTCAAAATATTATTTTAAAAATAATTTTAAAACAGATATAATCAAAAAATTTAGACAGATTAACTACTATTTAATTCCACGGAAAAAAAGCCAGACAATGGTCCAATGACAAACTATTAACCGAAAAGAAAATATTGAGAATATGATGACATAATTGTGTTCTCGTAACACTAAGAGACTAAGCTGTATAACGAACCTAATTTCTCATCCACTAAGACGAACACGTACACAGCACTTATTACAGTTATATTAGTCTGTGTTAGGAAAATATTGATTTTAGAAGCAATTTTATTATTTTTTAAAAAGATTTCCGGAAAAGATTAGTCACAGACTTTTTGTTCAAGGAAGTGATAACTATTAGAAGTTAAACATTGATGATGTTTATTCAAATTTATTTTATTAAGACCCTGATTTATGCATAGTTTAATCAACTTTGAAAACACAAATCTAAATAATTAAATAAAACGTTAGCTTTATAAAAAAAACTTGCATTTTGAAATTAGTTATAACACGTAGGCAAGTTTGTGCACCGCAGCCTTAACATGAATTAACAAAGCAATTTCTATTATATATTTTATGTCATTACAACATACAAAATAACTGGTGTACCGTCTCTTTCTCGGGCTTAGTCGATATCTAGATTTACAAACCATTGAAAGGTCAACTACAAGTTTTGAAGGGCTTGATGAACGCCGATCTATGCATACGATTCGATGGGACTATCTGTCCACATTGCTGGGCTCGAGAAAGTCAAACAAAGTACACGATATTTATTTAACCCATGAGACACTAAACGATCAATATGTATCGGTGAGTTCTTGTTCGAAACGCATTAATTGTTTTGATTGGTGTAAACTAGTTATGACGTATTGAAATCCACAAGGCCTAAAGTCATTACCTTAGATAATGTGAGGTAAAATGTCGGAGGACTTGAAACAAAAACGTGGAAAAAAACGTAATCTCGACTCTACTGTGAATAGCGTTTATTATAAATTGATTTCATAAAAAGAAATAATTACTTCTTCGATAGATAGAAAAAAAAATGGAAAACTTAAAAACGGCTTATTTTAGAATGTTTATTTTATGGCTGAAATTACTTTTTGAAAACATGAACTGACACATACTGAATGAAAAAAAAACGAAAACAGTATTGAAATAGTTACTCCAGTCAAGTGTGCCTTGTTCAAAAAATCAACTGGATACTGGCAAAGTGGACGAAGACAAAGTAATTTAGAAAAGGGAATAGAGTATTAAGTGTGGGTGTTGGAATAAAATGGTGCGGGCCTCTAGTAGTTTTAAAGTAGACGGGGGACAAGTGTGACCGTAATGTCCAAAAATGTAATGAGTCTCAGAGATAAAACGATTTTAAGGGGTATGGATAATGATGAGTTACAATATCTTGTTCAAGGTCTGGCTCTAACATATAAAATTCCGTCTGAGGCACTCGGGTTTCACATTCAGATTCAACACATTTGTATTCTTCATATTCAGAATCAACCAAGAGCCTTCAAAGTCGGATACTTGGATTAGAAAAAAAAATACGAGACATGTTTCATTCATCACAGCAACGTTTCCCGAAACATTCTATACCCCAAACAGCTTTCAAACCCCAAGTGCCCCGTAGCAAAATGTGTACAATATAACAATTATTTTTTAACAAAAATTAAAAACGACTAAATTGTTTATTTTTAAACAGTTTAAAAAAGAATATTATCTGTAGCCTTTAACCGATTACAAAGAATATAATCTATGAAATATCGCTGCCTTCAATATACTTGATGATCCGTATATATAATGCCAATCTCATTAAAGCTTACAGCAATGGTTCTCAACCTTCGTATTGCCGCTACCCTTTAATACATTTTCTCGTGTCGTGGCGACCCCCAGCCACACAATTATTTTCGTTGCTACTGCATTGCTGTAAGGAAATGTGTTTTCAGATGGTCTTAGGCGACCCCTGGGAAAGGGTCGCGACTCACAAGTTGAGAGCCTCTGGCTTACAGTATTCCATTAAAAAAATATCACACTGGC